CCCCTGGAGTTGCAATCTTGATTGTTTTGGTGAGTGGTGTGTGTGGCCAAAGAAGTGTGTGGCTTTCCCCCTCCTTCCCTGGATTCCCTGGAGCACCTCGTACTTTGTATATAGCACTCGGTGATCGTGTAAATAAACTGTTTCTCAACAGTTTATTTACACAATCTCAACATCAACAGAGTCCTGCGCCTGAGTTCACTTGTTCGTTGTGACATCAATGAATCAGTGAAGCTCACATGTGTCCGTTTCAGGGATACCAAGGTGAGTTATGGAGAATATTCTAAAATATTCTGTCAGGAAGCGCTGCTGTTAGCTCCTGTTAGCTGCTGTTAGCTGCTGTTAGCTGCTGTTAGCCTCTGTTAGCCAATGTAAGAAACTTGAAACTGTCTTGTTGATCTAACATCAATGGACTCGGCCACTTAGTGAATAAACTCTTACACGCTCTGATACTGTAATCAAACTGTTTATCATCTGACAAAGTAATTGCGACAGTATTGAGAATAACCAAACATATTCATTCACGATTTCAACTTCAGTTAAGGATTTGACGCTTGAGTTGAGGAGGAATAATGAGAAGGACAATGAAAATATACACGTGAAAATATTAAATGGGCACATGTAGTTTGAAAGAAGTATTTGTGGTCTTTAAATTAAAAGTAACTTTTAAGACATACTACTTGTGTTACTGGTCTCAAGCCACATACAAAAAAACACAACTGGGCAAAACAGCGATATCCACCTCAGTCACTGTATACATGAAGTCAGCATAACATGCAAACCAGTGCCTGCTCCCATGTATTTTTAACGGATTCATTCTAAGTTTATGACAATGCATGAATTTGATGGATGATGTAATTAAACACTAATCAGTGTATATTTATGAGTACAACATGCCTTTTTTTCTTTACATAACCTGAAAAAATTACTTATTGTACCTTTTAAGCTGAGTGAGTCTAGCAAAATCAATTTCCTGCTCAGTTGATGTGTGATATAATTGCTATAATATAAAATTAAAATGGAAATAGAATGAGGTAAAAGTGATTTACTTGTTTTTGTATGTCAGGAATATTTATAACTGAGAAAAATATCCAGTTAACGTTAAAAGAAACAGTAATGTAAAGTATACGTATTCCATGTTCAGCCTGTGCGGCTGCTTCAGAGAATCCAATGGTCCATCTAGTGGTTGTTGTGCAGAAGTGCAGCACGGGCTCAGTGCAGCTCCTGTAAGTAGAATTGAGTTCACAGAAAACCCATTCACATTAAACTTGAGACTCTAATAATTATCCAGACACAAAGCCATCTCAGTCCTTTAAGTAGGACTCAAACTCCTTTAGCATTGTCCCAGGACGTCCCACACAGTTTGCCATCTGATCTGTTATTGCTTTGTGGTCGATGGTCTCAGTTGCAGAACTAAGATCCTGTGATACTAAAATCTGCCATTCACCATGTTTAGGTTAAACGTGGTTGCACTGCTAATTGTAAGACATCAAAGCAGTTGTTTAATTCCAAAAAGCTGCTCAGTTGATTAAAAACAGCAACGTGTCCCTTGGCTTTAAATAAAATGTAACAGGGGCCAAAAGAAAACAAAATTATTATAATCATTCTGTCAACTGTTCAGTGGCAAGGTGTGTTTCTAATTCCTGTATTACACAATGCATCCTGATTATACATTGATCAGTCATAACATCATGATCACCTGCCTAAAACTGTTGTGTTGCTAACAAAGACCTTGTGCTGGCACCAAGATGTTAGCAACAGATCCTTTAAGTCTTGTAAATTGTGAGGTGGGGCCTCCATGCATCTGACTTGTTTGCCCGGTACACAGATGCTCGATTGGATTGAGACCTGGAGGATTTGGAGGCCAAGTCAACACCTCAAACTCGTTGTTGTGCTCCTCAAACCGTTCCTGAAGCATTTTTGCTTGCTACCAGTTTTGCCTTACTTGTCTGTGGCTATGCAGCCCCATTCACAGCAAACCGATACACTGTGTATTGTGACATCTTCCTATCAGAACCAGTATTAACTTTTTGTGCAGTTTGAGCTACAGTAGCTTGTCTGCTGGATTGGACCACCAGCCTTCACTCACCATGTGTATCGGTGTCTTGGCCCATGATCATGGGTTCACCACTGTTACCTCCTTGGATCACTTTTGATAGATACTGACCACTGCAGACCAGGAACACCCCACAAGAACTGGAGATTTGGAGATGCCCAAAGCTGACCCAGTCACCTAACCATCACAGTTTGGACCTTGTCAGACTCATTCATATCCTCGTGCTTTTTACTGTTTCTTGCACAGCATCTTTGAGGACAAAATAGTCACTTGCTCTCTAATATATCTCACTCAGGTCCCATGATGAAGATGATCAGTATTCTTCACATCACCTGTCAGTGGTCATAATATTATGGCTGATCAGTGTGCATCTTGGTTTTGTTATTGTTTTCCATCTTTTAAGCTCCTGTTTTCTCTGGTTTTAATCGTGTAACACATGTAATGCAGAAATAATGGGTCCAGCTCTACAGCAGCATTTACGTTTATTATTATACTGAAGTTGGGTTCTTGCTGCTTTTGTGTTGATCTGTATGTGTAACAGCATGCAGAGGTCACAGGTCACCGAGAGCAGAGCACGGTGCCGGCTGCTGATATCTTCACTGTGGGGCACCTCCGTCTTCCGCGAGGTGAAAAGATAAAGCGGAGGTGGTGAAGGGCACTGTTTAACAAATCCCTGAGGCTCAAGGCACTGGAGAAGTCCGGCAAGACCACACAGGCTTTTCTCTTAAATATCTGCACGGTCATAATACAGAGCATACGTGTTAATAGAAACAGTATTTAAAACTTTCAGTGCTGTGTACATATGTATTTCTCTGAATCAGTGCTTTTAAATGCTGGAGAGTAAGCACCTTTACATCAATGGTGGTCGGAGGGAGGAGGCTGAGCAGCAGGTCTGTTTCATACCAAGATCGTGGGAGGTTATCAATTTCAATAGACACAGTCTGACAAGAGAAAAACAAAAGATTTCATAAAATTATCAAAACATCCATCATCATCCATAAAAAAACAAACCTTGAGATTTTTTTTCTTTTTTGTGGGAGTCCAAATGTTTCATTACCTGTCTGTAAGCTGGAAACAGTGGTTCCCACAGAGTGGGACGTCTGTGCAGTGGGCGGTAACTACAGCTGCCTGGTGGTGCTCGATGGGGACGTTTGGATCTTTTATCCTTGGGGCCCTCTCTGACCTCCCTGATGCCTACTTGAGCTACAAAGAAGACTTTGGTGCTGCTCTTCATTTCCCTCAAAGCCACGGCAGCTTCATCGGCACTGCGGTAATGCACCATCCCGTATCTGTGATTGTTTTTCACAATCGTCTGAAGTACGAGAGGAAAATTGTGAAGCAAATTAAAGTGAATTTTGCATTTCTAAAGCACGTTTGTAAGACAGTTACCTGAACAGAGATGACACATCCAAAAGGTGAGAACATGCTGAGCAGATCCTTGGCAGTAACAGCTTGGTCAGAATCCAGATAGACTTTCATTTTCTGTCAGAGTAAAGCACAGAGTCAGACAGCAAAGCACAGAGCTGACGTGTTGTCCTGTTATGATCCTCAGAAAGCAGAAGGGAAACGTACGTTGGTCCACTCAACATTTCTCCAGTCTGAAAGAACCGTCTGTTTGGAAACCTCACTGGGTGCATAGCAGTTTTCATATCTGATGGCGTCCATTGCAATTATGCATCAAAAACTTAACTGTAATTTCAGAATACAGCTTTTAAGTGCAGATTTGGTCACATGTCAACTGAAGAAAAACAAAAACAAATTTGTAAAATAAGCTGAGTTGTAACCAAGTGTAGGCCTGTGACAGAAATCCTAAAAGTATTTCTGTTACAGCTTTGAAAATACATTTAATTTGATTCAAACCAGTTTGTTTCCTAGCAACATGATGCAAATCTGCACTTTACAGCAGAACTAACTTAATTTTGGCATTCAGACCCCATTCATATTTTAAATAATATTTCATGTTGTGAAATAGAAAACATGGACTCACACGTCCAGGGCGAGTGATGAGTTTTAACTATTTAAGAGCAATTCTGGACTCAAGTGACACGTGAATGTAAAAATGCCTTACTGTTACTTAAAGTCATGACATGAAAAGAAAAGTGGTTTTCACATATTTGACTGTAGACATACAAAGTACAGCCGGGAATGAATGCCTTTTGTTTGTTGTTGTTGTTGTTGTTTGCAGAAAGGTGGCTGAATTCTGTGTTTCCACAAATTAAAATGTCCTCGTGGTGATGACCAGAGGGAAATGATGACAGACAAAGTCAATACCAGCAGAGATGCATCAGATTAGTGCCACATTCATTCTGCAGTAGGAGCCGGAGTTCTTTAAAAGATTGTGATTATATCTGTATTTTCACAGATTAAAAGAAAACACTGAGCATTGATTCATTGTTGCCTTCAGGATCCCATCTGAACCCTTTCTTAGAGAGCATTACAATGGCTTCATTGTAGCTGCCTAACTTCCTTCAAAACTCCTTCATCACTTTAGTTTGCTGGCTTACGTCACATAAACCCTTTTCTCTAAACACCAGAAATTACTAAATACTTAAAATAACTTACAGCTGTACAGTGTAGGGGTGTTTTTTTAAAAGTACTTACAGTATAATGTGTTTCTCCTTCCCCCTATCAAACAGCATGATTTGCCGGGAGTGTCTCCTCACAAGGGTGAATTCTACTTCTTTTTTAAACTTTTTCATTTGCAGCTACGCATCAACGCTGCCGTCTGCGACATCCTACAATTGTGAGGGGAAACTGAAAAAATTTGTTGGCTTTGCAAGCAATGTTGGAGCTGCTGTGAAGGGCTGATAGCGACACACTCAGGAGAGTCACACTCGTGTATAAAAAGATCAGCTTTTATACCGTGTTACTGTGTCCATTTTTTAAACGAGATTAATGAGCCTCGTCTTGGAACACCTCTTTGCTTCTGCTGTTCCACTGCACCCGACTACGTTTACTTCCTTTACTCACCTCTTTTCAATGTATATTCAATTGGTCCACCTGTCCTTTGTCGCTGATCTTAGATCTTTTTCACCCATGAATTAGATTTCACAATAAAAAAAATCTACTAACATATGATCTACACAAAATTGTTGATGCATAGTGACCTTCTTATCACTTCCACAGGTGGTCTCATGTGTTGTTTTGCATTTAGAAGCTGTTCTTGAGCACATGAGCTGCTGTAGGTTTGAAACTCAAGTCATTATTTTATTCAACAGTGCCACCTGCTGTTGAATTCATGAACTACCAGATGAGTTTAACTTAACTTTCCTCCAACTTTTCCCTAGGGGTCAGCGCAGCAGATCATCCTGCCCTACATCCACAAATCTTCTCTGTGATCTTCTTTTCCTCCTGCCTGGAAGCTCCATCTTCAATATCCTTTGTCAAATATATCCACTATCCATCTTCTCAACATGTCCAAATCTCAGTCTTGCCTCTCTACCTTTGTCTCCAAAACACTAACTCTGGATTCATCAGGTCATCAAAGTGCTGCTTCTATCATCTCAACGTACTCTCTTCAATAGTTGAATTGTCTGTGTCCATGTTTTTAAATCCCTCCAGGCCCTGTTTGCACAAGGAAGCAGTGACAGAGCTGAGGCAGAAAACAGGTGCCAATCAAACCGAACTCGAAAGTAAAAAGACTGACATTAAGAAAAAAACATGTAATCTTAGTATTGTGCTAGTAAAACGTACCAGCACTTAAAGGAAAATACTAAAAAGCTGAACTTATTTAAAAATTCTTAAACACACAGCTGTGTTTCGGCAGCTTTACTTTGAAAATCACAGTGGCTACTTTGGCTCTGCTCCTGCTGTACAACATCCAAATGCATTTACTGTGCGCAGATCAAAGTGTAAGAACTACACTTTCTATCAGCTACGATCCAAATGGAGTTGAATATTCAGTGCGTGTGCCGTATGACGTAGGCTGGCTGCCTGGGCAGACAGTTAATTTTTTTTTCTTTTTGATTGGCTAAACTTGACTAAACAGACAGTTGTGGCTAGAATCTGATTTGTTACATCTTATACCTCTATGGCAGGTATAAGTCCGACTCAGACCATTATAAGGCCCATTGCTTTCATCCTCTTTGCAACTGTCAAACCCAGATGTTCATTGGTTTGTCTGACTGAGAAGCGTGATTTGTCACTCCAGAGAACACGTCTGCACTCTACAGTCCAGTGGCGGTGTGCTTTACACCACTACATCCAGCATTGCACTTGGAGATGTAAGGCTTAGATGCCATGAAAACCCATTTCATGAAGCTCTCTATGCACTGTTCTTGAGCTAATCTGAAGGTCACATGAAGTTTGGAGGTCTGTAGTAATTGAATCTGCAGAAAGTTGGTGACCTCTGTGCAGCACGTGCCTCGGCATCCACTGACCCCGCTCTGTGATTTTAAGCGGCCTAATACTTCATGGCTGAGCTGCTGATCATCTAACATTCATAAATTCCAGCTCCTCAGGGTACTGAATTTGGGCTAAAAAACCCAAACAAACAATCTTCAGTGTAAAACATCTTCAGTGTAAGCTTTCAACAAGTAACATCTGTCGCTAGTAACACTTTAAAGTCAAAACCACAATTATAACTATATGACACTTGGATTTTAGCACTGAGCTTTTGCACAACATTTGCCTGTAACTGATGTGTTATGTGCCTATAGATGTTACAGCACGTTTCATATGTTTTAAACTTCACTGTTAAAAGACAATATTTCATCACCACTTATATGTCGTGTTTAAACTCAGTCTGAGAATGGGTAATAGGGTATTCCAGACAGCTTGACCTTTATCTTATTTGGCTTTCCAGATGTGAATGAAAAGTTGAAGCATTTCGTGAAAACTTGAACACACCCGCTGACCTGAATGACACTTGCTGTATTATTGAAAATAAAATGTTAAAAAAAAACGTAACATTTAATGACTAAAACACTGGGAAAATAACTGCCTTCATTGTTTGTGGCAGATACAAAAAGGTGCAAGAAACGTTCTTCAGAGCTTTTGGTCGTTAGTGACATGATAGCATCACACAGGTCGTCCAGATTCATTGGCTGTGCGTAGATGATGTGAATCTACCACTAAATGTAAAAATGAGAACCTAGAAATTGTTGATCTTGGTAAACATTTCAAATTTTTCTGATTGTTGGCAACAAGCAAAAGCTTGACAGTCAAAAACAAGAACAACAACAAAAAACCCAAACCCTCATTCTATAGTTGCCCTAAATCATTATTAACTGTAGAAGAAGGATTTCTGAGATGCACAGAAGTCTGAGCACAACCCAAAACTGATTGTTAGTGAAATCTGAGTTCATGTTAACTGTAGTTAGTGTTCATTTGAAATGAAAGTTTATGGATACACACACAATTTAGCTTTCAGTATGCATGCACTATTTATAGAGGAGGATTATGGACACTGGAAAAAATGAGGATGTCTTTTGTTTTTTTTCATCAGAATTCTAAAACAAAATTGTAAAAAGCTGAACAAGAAAATTCAAGTTGCCTAATCTTTTGTTTAATCATGCAAAGTCATATCTGTAATATGTAAATCAAACGTTGAGGGGGGAAAAAATCTATTAAATCAAGTTCCCCTATTTTGATTTTTCTGGGGGATTTTTGTTTTGTTTTTTTAGCGTTCCACCACATCCCAAAGTTGCTCCATTGGATTGGGATCTGGTGATTGTGGAGGCCATCTGAATACAGAGATCTCATTATAAGCAGCCGTCAGAAGATGAGAACATAAAAGAACATACATCGTAAGCAAAAACAATCAGACAGGCTCTAGAATTCAAGTTATGTTCAGTGGGTACTAAGAGACCAAAAATGTGTTTAAAAAATTCCCCAACAACTTTATACAACCACCATCAGCCTGAACTCTTGATACAAGGTAGGATGGATCCATGTTTCCATTTTTTATGCCAAATTCTGACTCTATTATCTGAATGTTGCAGCGGAAATCGAGAGTCATCAGAACAAGCGATGATTTTCCCATCTTCTGTTGTCCAGGTCTGGTGAGCCTGTGCATATTGTAGCCTCAGTTTTCTGATTTTAGCTGACATGCATAGCACCCAGTGTGCTCATCAGCTTCAAGGTTCAGCATGTTGTGTTCAAGATTCTGTCTTCATACCTTGGGTGTAACAAGCAGTTATTTCAGTTACTTTTACCATCCTAGTAACTCAAACCAATGTTGCCATTTTTCTCTGACCTTTGACAACAACTGCTGCTCACTGGATATTTTCTCTTTTTCTTACCATTCTCTGTGGTCGTGTGGAAAAATCCCAGTAAGTGAGCAATGTCCGACAACTCCCCCCTTGAGTTGCTGCCGTGATTGGCTGATTAGATATTTCTGTTAATGATCAAGTAATAAGGTGCTTCCCAAAGAGCTATTAGTCAAAAACTTGGTCTATCTGCACGATGTGCAGTGTGTCCTTAAATAGTTTTTTAGGAAAGTGGAGTGGAGGTCAAAAAAAAGAAAGAAATGTCAGGCTTATCTACATCAGATGGACATTTTCTAAAAGTCATGTCAAAGGCTGAGGCATGCTAAACTGCACAAGAATTGGACTGAAAATCAGTGGAAATAGGTCTTAGAGGTACAGCAGGGAGTATCTACTGCCATCTGTAAAACACGGTACAGGCTCTGTCATGCTTTGGGGCGGCATTTCAACCAGTGGTGTTTGAGAGCTTGTTAAACTTGATGGAGTTCAAGTTTCAAGACTTTCAAGCTTATTAGAATAGTCTTATACAGTGTGTTTCCAGTTTTGTTTGGACATGTCTCAGTAAAAAGCTGCACCTATTTTGGCAACAAAATATAAAGAAGTGAGGAGTTCTTCATCCACTGTTATGTGCTTTAGAGGTG